TGGCAATGTTGTCCAGGTAATGCTGCAGCGTCAGTCGCTCGTAGAAGATAACATCACGTGATGCCACCGTATTTTTGTCTTGTATGTCGAGGATTTTCCATGCGTGAAAATGTTTGGCGATGCCGAGGTGTAGTCCCCACCGTGCTCGTTGAGTGAAGCGTCCTGCTCGGGCTGTGTGGGGTCTGTACTGTACCATGCAGCCAAAAACTCGAAGTAATTTTGTGCTGCCCCTTTTTCGTGTCCACAGCAGGTGCGGTGATGCGTTGTTGGGAAGCGATGACGATGACAACAGATTGTGCAGGTGGACTGCATGTGTCATCGCGTCTGGCCACAGTGTGTTGGGCAGTCTCATCCCAGGAGCAGCTTTCGCATCGTCGTCTGCAAGGTCCGGTTCATTCTTTCTGCGACTCCCTGCTGCTGGTGAGCGTAGGGCAGGGACACCAGGCGTCTGATTCCTCTTTCCGCCAAGTAGTTCCTGAATCGTTGTGACTGGTATTCCAGTGCACCATCCGATTGGAAGCTCTTGAGCTTGGTTCCTGATTCTCGTTCAGCGATGGGGAGCCACGTCGTGAAGGCTTCGAAGGCTTGATCCCGCGTCTTGAGGTTGTAGTGCCAGACATATCTTGTTGCTGCATCGATGAACGTGATGACATAGTTGAAGTCGGCTTCAGTGTCGTCTCGAGGCATGTTTAAGATGTCGCTGTAAACCTTTTCCATCGGTGCGTATGCAGGTGCACTTGGATTGTGATGTGACGAAAAAGGTTGGTGTTGAAGATATGCTTCGAGGCATGTGAAGCACCGTGCGCGAGGTCGACGAAGTTCCTGTCCGCTTATTGTAAGGAGAGTGTTTCGTTCTAACACTTCGGCTTGGATGGTTTGTAGTACCATGCTATTTGCAGGATGCCCAAGGCGTTGATGCCAGATGTCGTCGGGAGCTCGATGGCCGGGCGATCGGTGATACATGTCGGTGTTGGAGAAGAACGCGACGACGGTGGCAGGACTTCGGCAGACTTCGCGTGTGGTGGGCATGAGTTGATCTGCTTCGGTTGGCGGTCCTCGGATTGCCTGTGGTGATACTCTGCTGGGTCATGCTGCTGTGAATTCAGGTGATGTCGATGAAGAGACGCTTGCCGGTACTTGTCTTTCTTGTCGAATGACTGCTAACGCCCGTGTTCTCTCTGCTGCAGGTATGGTGTTTGAGTACCAGTATCCATCTTGGTTGAAGTCGGGGTCAAGTCCGGTGGGTGCGTCCATGCGGCGAATGATACGATGCCATCGCTATCGGCGGTACCGCGGTCGGGGACGAAGTCCAACACGAAGACGCCGGACTTTAGTAGAGCGCGACCGATGAAGAGACCGCCCTTCCTGTGGTATAGGCGAAATTCGTTGGAGTCCGAGTCGCACTCCAGGTGAATTCCTTTTGCCATTAACTGGCTGACGTTTAGTAAGTTGTATCCCAAGTTGTTGACGATGAGGACCTTGTTGAGTTGCAGTATAACGTTTGTCTCCATGGATTGTAACTGAACCACTCCTTGTCTGTTTGTCTTCAGGTTCTCGTTGTTGGCGACGGTGATGATGACGTCTCGGTTGAGACGTCGTTCTCGTTGCACGAACCGCCCAGAAGAACACATGTGTTGGCCGCAACAGCTGTCCAAGAACCAAGTGTTGCGTCCGGTGGGTTCTGAGTTCGCGACTGCAGCGTACGTTGGGTTGACCTGAAGTCCCTGTGAGCGCGGCGGCGATAGTTCTTCTTCATCGAGGGCGTAAGTTGGCGGTGAGCCGGGTGCGCAGTTGTCGATGTGTACCATGCAGTTGATGATATTCGGTGTATTTTGTGCAGATGTGGAAGAGTGCCTCGGCGGACTTACTTGAGTGGAAGCGACTTGTGGGTCTACTGGACGATAAGCTCGGGGACGTGTGCAGTTGACTTTGGTGTGTCCGGATGTTTGGGAGTTGTGGCAGAACGGCGGTACAATGGTGAGTCTTCTGTTGTTGCGTTGATCTTGCCTGCCGCGTCGGTTGTAGTTGTTGTCGTGTCTTCGTTGAGTGTAGAAGACTAATGGTTGTTGTTTCCTTGGTTGTCTTTCTTCAAACAGGTCCATCTCTTGTTGTTAAGCATGGAGCTCGGCGCAGAGGTGCATCTCCGAAATTCGTCCGTGGGCGCGAAGGAGCGAGCGGGTTGTTCGCCATTCTGGCCCGAGCCCAGCGAGGACAAGCGTCACGAAACTTTCTTCAGTGATTGTTCCTCCGCACCGAACCAGGCGGTCGCGGAGTGTCTGGCATCGACTCATATACTGCATCGCTTTTTCCCCGGTCTTCATCTGTATTGTTGTCAGCTGCTGCATGAGTCTGCTTTGTGTCACGCTGTCATTTGCTTGATAGAGGCACTTGAGGTGATGCCATGCGAGTTCCGCGGAGTTTCCGTAGCTCCTATACGTTCTGATGCTTTGCTATTCTTGTGGTGACAGGTTCTGTAGGAGATTTGTGTACGCCAGCAGCGACTGATAAGTGAAAATTTCTTGTTCTTTTGTGGTGCCGTTACTTGGGAATGGCAGGGACCCATTGAAGTATCCCAAGAGATGCGCAGCCTCCATCAGCAGCTCGAACTCAAAACTCCAGGTAAAGAAATCGTGTCCGTTGAATGGTGAGGATGTCTGCAGTTTAATCACGTATGAAAACTGCGCCCGGAGACTTAAAATCCCGTTTGGTGTCTGTTGTGATGCAGCTGCTGTTGGTTGGGCACGGGGCGGCATGAACTCGAACGTCCCCGGTGAAGAGTGATAAGGCGCAAAGGTAGGCGCTTGATTGTGTCGCCCGAACGATGAGTTGTCGAGACTCATTGGCGCTAATCCCATGTTTCCTCCGTTGCTTTGTGTTGAATGCGTAGGTGTCCTTGTCTGCTGCTGCTGGTCGAAGTGTGACATGAAGCTGAAGAACCTTTCCATAAGGTTCGGGTCCACGCTTGAAGAGGGTGATGGGGTCACCATTTCTGGTGCTCTTCCTATTGTTTCTTGAGCAGCGCCGGTCTCGGTTTGCAGTCCTGAAGTGTGCAGTCCAGAGTTGCCGGGTTGAGTATCTTGGGCACTAGGTGAGCCCGTAGAGGTTTTCTTGCCCTTGCTGTCCATGACTTGTAATCAATGAAGTCGTTGATGTGCTGATTGTAGATAGAGCGTAGTTGCTGGGAGTTTGGTCTCTGACCAGCTCTCATACCATGATGGGCTGAGAAAAGCCCTTAGGATCTTTCTAGAGACCAAGTGCCAGTTGTAAAAAGCTTGAGTAGTGCAGCTGAAGTTGAGGTAGTTGAATCCTTGTACTAGTATATGAGAACAAGTGATTGATTAAAAGAACAAGCATACAGCAATATATAGAAAGTGGGAAAGTAAAGCAGTTGTAGAATACAGTTGAAAGGGCGGTTTATCGAGTCGCACAGCGACTCGATTGTCGCTTCGGTTACCATCTTTGCAGTTGTAACTGTCAGTCGCAACCTCCAGTTGCGACCCTTCGAGTCCTTTCGTGTTGTTTGTCCATCCCCTCGTGTAACCTCCGTTGACTCGCGTACCCGTTACGATCTTCCTCGAGTGTGGTGTTACACTTCAGAAACGCTTAAGTCCTTGAGATATTTCCAACAACTTGTAACTTCTGAAAATCTTACTGTTCATTGATAATGGTCAGGGGTGGCGGGAGGTCCCTCTGAGAGACATTGCAAACAAAATGGTAACAGTGGAACAGAATCCATACATGACTGCATTGCAACGTGAAGTTAAGTGTGAATGTGCAATGCACTTCTCTGATGGACGGGCCTGCCCTTGGCTCTTGTACATTAAACCTCATGAATCAATTGTGCCTCAGGTCGTCCCCCTTACAGTCGCATTACAGTCATTTACTACCTCAGGGCTGACGTTTGTCGTATCTAGCAGTTTCCAGCTGCGAAAATCGACTGCTTTGTCGTCAGTTTGGGCTGGTTCTTTCTGGCGGGATTGTGCAGCTCGTGCAGTCCCTGTCTAGAACCAGACCAAAATTGCCCCAAGCTACTGTAGCGTTGATAGTTTGCAAAAACAAGTGGGTTTGTTCATTGGTTCGATGTGAAGAGATTTTTTCGCGATTGTAATCGGTTCCTTTGGTACAGAAAATCAGAACTCAGAGATCCAGTGCACTAGAGAGCGATAAAGCACGGTGATAGGTCGAAGTCCGTGCTCCGCTTGTACACCTGTTCTACGATATGGTTCTCAGACGAACAGTCCAAATTGCAATTCCCACCAGATCTTGTCACCCCTAGGGTCCCAATTGCAATTCTCGCCTCCTCGTGTCCCCCTACGTTCAGTACCAAACACCAGGTACCGAGCTGAACCGCATTAACCCCCAGATTCAGCGCGAAATGTTCGACATTTTGCACGAGAGTTACTGTGCATTTTCCGGGCTAATGTCCCGTTTGCCCGTGTTTTGAAATTTCTGGGGAACAGGCCCGAGCCTCATGAAAAAAACCGTCTTTATTAGCGTCGAGCAGGTGTAGAGAGAGTGCGAGTCGCCACTTCCTTTCGTCAATTTCTTTCGTCATTTTTTTCTAGCCTGTGGGTGTGTGTTGTGTTGCCGTTGGTGGTCGCGTTGAAATCATTTGGGAATACGACGAGAGGTGACTAATTTGGGCCCTCACTCCCCACCCACCCACACACAACCCCCCCCCCCCCTCCCGCGCCCTCTCCTTCCCCCTTTTTTCCTCAACTCCGCTTCCTCCGCTCCGCTTCCTCCGCTCCGCTCCCCTCCTCTTTGTTCGGCGTTGATGATGGCCGATCACGTGTGGGGGGAAAAAAGAAGTCAGAGAGCGATGCAGCGCGGTTTCGGACCTTTCAGAAGGGGTGTTTGATTGTTTGGATGCGGTAGCTCGACGACACAACAGGGCATTGTGCTGTTCAACCTGTTTTCAGCTGCAGTTACCGCCGTGACTGGTGGGTTGGCAAGTGCTCATGCCGCGCAACAAAGATTGGCGGCGATCTCACATACCGTAACACACGGTCATCAGGGCAAGCACAGGCACGCGGATCACGTTCTAGCTATCTTCACGGCACGCGAGTGAGCATCGCGGTCACTCTCTCGTTTCTCTTTGGCGCCTATGGTATGCAGTCTATACTAAAGACTCTTTTCACATTGGCTTGCCTGAGATAAAGCTCTAGTGAGAGGTCGAGGACTCGATTCCAGACCAAAGACTCGCGTTTTTTTTGTGGCTTGAGCCAACTACCTAGCCAAAGCTTCTAGGAGCTTTCCGACCGCACGAGTTTTGTCGTCGAATATTGAGCCCCAGAGCTAGTCGCCTTTCGCAAGGGTCCGCCGGTGAACAACTGACGACGATCCTTAGATTATAAGTGAAACCCCGCCTGCTTAGGCTTGTTATACTGAACTAGTAGGGCCGTCGTGCAAGTTGACTTTTGAGTCGACTCAAAAAAACATTATGAGTGCAAAACCGCGGTGCTGCTTAGACGTATCTGTCATACTGAACGAGTAGGGGCCGTCGTGCAAGTTCCAACCACAGGTTAACTTATTCTCTCCTAAGGAAAATACATTCGCGAGTGCGCGAATCGTGCGAATCCCTTCGCGAGCGTCGCCAAAGTCCATGGTTCGTGGTTTCGTGTTTCGAGACGGTCCCAAAAGGTGACTGGCTTTCGTGAGCCAGGTCAAAGCGTTCCCCTTAGTTAGCCAACTCGCCATTGGAAGTCCCGTCAAAAGTGTTTCTTTTACGTAAGTAGTGGATAGGTGACAGCTTTCGGACGCGCGCTTAGTGACTGACACTTAAACAACCGTTGCTGAGGTCAAGCCGGGGCCGTTAGCTTCTATCAGCCATGGTTCTAGGGCGGCGCGCCCTATGGCGCACTCGAGGCGACTCGGGCGGAAGCCTCGACGTCCCGGGAAACGCGGGGACGGCCGGCAAAGCTGACGGCGCAGCGGCGGCGGACGACGACCTGGTCATGACGGAAGACTGGGACGCCGACGCGACGGCCGGCGCGGCGGGAAAAGCGGACGGCGGCGGTCACGGACTTGCGGCGGGCGGCGCGGGGGGGGACGGTAAAGGCGGCGGCGGCGGCGGTGTGGGCGAGACGATGGAGATTATGCTGGAGGACGGGCTGCAGCTGACGGTGGAGGTTGACTCTGGCGAGAAGCTTCTTAACGAGCTGGGATACAAGCAGGAGCTGAAGCGCGCGCTGGGATTCTTCGAGCTGTTCTCCATCGGGCTGTCCACCGTCACTGTCTTTACTGGCATCGTGCCGTACTATGGGTAAGGGGAACCCCAAGCTGCGTATTGAGTTAGGTGCGTAAGGCGCTGGCAGTGTGCCTTACTACGGGTAAGATATCCGCTCACAATCAACCCGCCTTCTCCCTCTGCACAATCCCCCCCCTCCTCCCCCCCACCCCACCTCCCCCTCCCCCCTCCCCCCCCCCCCCCCCCCCCAGGCCCCTTCTTGTCCCCCCACTCCCCCCCTACTCCCCATTCCACTCCTTCCCCCCTCAAAACACCCCCTGACCCACACAGCCCATTCTTCGTTCCACTCCCCCCCTCCCTTCCAATGCTTTGCGTTCCTCCACCCTTCTCCCACTTCCCCCCTCCCCCCACTTCCCCCCTCCCCCCACTTCCCTCCTCCCTCCTCCCCCCTCTTCCCTCCTCCCCACTCTTCCCATGCGTGCAGCGCCTCACAAGTCTCTCCCTCAGCCCTGAGGCCCTGTAGCATATGTGTGGTACTGGTGGATCACTGTCGTTTTCACCCACTCAACCCCTCTGCCCTATGGCCACGTTAATATCATTTCCGCCATTTCCCCCCTTCGTTACTCCCAAGCACTTAATACCGGCGGGCCAGCAGCCGTTGTGTGGCACTGGTGGTGGATCACTGTCGTCTTCACTCGCCCACCCCACCCTTTGTCTTCTCTCTGTCCCCGCTATCAACATCCTGCTATACGTACATCCGTAACAGCCAAGAGTTGGTGAACAGCGGGCCAGTGGCCATGGTGTGGTAGTGGTGGATGGATCACTGTCTTCGCCACTCGCCCACCTCTCCCTGTCCCCGTCGTGTCCCCCTATGGCTCTGCCTGTCCCCGCTATAATCATCCCCGGTATGATCACGTCCATTACAGCCAAGCGTACGTGAACGGCGGCCCGGTGGCCATCGTGTGGTACTGGTGGATCACCGTCTTCTTCACTCACCTCATCGCTCTCTCCATGGCCGAAATCTCCTCCTCCTTCCCCGTGAGTTCCTCTTGCCCCGTGAGTTCCTCTTGCCCCGTGAGTTCCTCTTGCCCCGTGAGTTCCTCTTGCCCCGTGAGTTCCTCTAGCCCCGTGAGTTCCTCTTGCCCCGTGAGTTCCTCTTGCCCCGTGAGTTCCTCTTGCCCCGTGAGTTCCTCTTGCCCCGTGAGTTCCTCTTGCCCCGTGAGTTCCTCTTGCCCCGTGAGTTCCTCTTGCCCCGTGAGTTCCTCTTGCCCCGTGAGTTCCTCTTGCCCCGTGAGTTCCTCTTGCCCCGTGAGTTCCTCTTGCCCCGTGAGTTCCTCTTGCCCCGTGAGTTCCTCTTGCCCCGTGAGTTCCTCTTGCCCCGTGAGTTCCTCTTGCCCCGTGAGTTCCTCTTGCCCCGTGAGTTCCTCTTGCCCCGCGAGTTCCTCTTGCCCCGCGAGTTCCTCTTGCCCCGCGAGTTCCTCTTGCCCCGCGAGTTCCTCTTGCCCCGCGAGTTCCTCTTGCCCCGCGAGTTCCTCTTGCCCCGCGAGTTCCTCTTGCCCCGCGAGTTCCTCTTGCCCCGCGAGTTCCTCTTGCCCCGCGAGTTCCTCTTGCCCCGTGAGTTCCTCTTGCCCCGTGAGTTCCTCTTGCCCCGTGAGTTCCTCTTGCCCCGTGAGTTCCTCTTGCCCCGTGAGTTCCTCTTGCCCCGTGAGTTCCTCTTGCCCCGTGAGTTCCTCTTGCCCCGTGAGTTCCTCTTGCCCCGTGAGTTCCTCTTGCCCGTGAGTTCCTCTTGCCCCGTGAGTTCCTCTTGCCCCGTGAGTTCCTCTTGCCCCGTGAGTTCCTCTTGCCCCGTGAGTTCCTCTTGCCCCGTGAGTTCCTCTTGCCCCGTGAGTTCCTCTTGCCCCGTGAGTTCCTCTTGCCCCGTGAGTTCCTCTTGCCGTGAGTTCCTCTTGCCCCGTGAGTTCCTCTTGCCCCGTGAGTTCCTCTTGCCCCGTGAGTTCCTCTTGCCCCGTGAGTTCCTCTTGCCCCGCGAGTTCCTCTTGCCCCGCGAGTTCCTCTTGCCCCGCGAGTTCCTCTTGCCCCGCGAGTTCCTCTTGCCCCGCGAGTTCCTCTTGCCCCGCGAGTTCCTCTTGCCCCGCTGAGTTCCTCTTGCCCCGTGAGTTCCTCTTGCCCCGTGAGTTCCTCTTGCCCCGTGAGTTCCTCTTGCCCCGTGAGTTCCTCTTGCCCCGTGAGTTCCTCTTGCCCCGTGAGTTCCTCTTGCCCGTGAGTTCCTCTTGCCCCGTGAGTTCCTCTTGCCCCGTGAGTTCCTCTTGCCCCGTGAGTTCCTCTTGCCCCGTGAGTTCCTCTTGCCCCGTGAGTTCCTCTTGCCCCGTGAGTTCCTCTTGCCCCGTGAGTTCCTCTTGCCCCGTGAGTTCCTCTTGCCCCGTGAGTTCCTCTTGCCCCGTGAGTTCCTCTTGCCCCGTGAGTTCCTCTTGCCCCGTGAGTTCCTCTTGCCCCGTGAGTTCCTCTTGCCCCGTGAGTTCCTCTTGCCCCGTGAGTTCCTCTTGCCCGCGAGTTCCTCTTGCCCCGCGAGTTCCTCTTGCCCCGCGAGTTCCTCTTGGCCCGCGAGTTCCTCTTGCCCCGCGAGTTCCTCTTGCCCGTGAGTTCCTCTTGCCCCGCGAGTTCCTCTTGCCCCGCGAGTTCCTCTTGCCCCGCGGAGTTCCTCTTGCCCCGCGAGTTCCTCTTGCCCCGCGAGTTCCTCTTGCCCCGCGAGTTCCTCTTGCCCCGTGAGTTCCTCTTGCCCCGTGAGTTCCTCTTGCCCCGTGAGTTCCTCTTGCCCCGTGAGTTCCTCTTGCCCCGTGAGTTCCTCTTGCCCGTGAGTTCCTCTTGCCCCGTGAGTTCCTCTTGCCCCGTGAGTCCCTTGCCCCGTGAGTCCCTTGCCCCTTCCCTCTCTCTTTTTAAGTGCCTCCTCTTCCCCATCTCCTCCTCCTTCCCCGTGAGTCCCCCCTCCTCTCCTTGTGAGTCCCCCCTCCTCTCCTTGTGAGTCCCCCTCCTCTCCTTGTGAGTCCCCCCTCCTCTCCTTGTGAGTCCCCCTCCTCTCCTTGTGAGTCCCCCCTCCTCTCCTTGGGGGCCCCCCCCACTCTCCTTGTGAGTCCCCCTCCTCTCCTTGTGAGTCCCCCCTCCTCTCCTTGTGAGTCCCCCCTCCTCTCCTTGTGAGTCCCCCCTCCTCTCCTTGTGAGTGCCCCTCCTTCTGTCCTCTAGACGAGTCAGCCCTCCCCCCCCCCTTTCCTGTCTTCCTACCCTTGTCAGTGGATTTTCCTAATCTTTCGCTCTCCCTTCTTTCAATACCCTTCCATATCTCTCTCTCCCCCTCCTCTCAGGTGGCCGGGTCGCTCTTCTTCTGCTCCGCAGCTCTGCCTGGGCCAAAGCACAACTCATCAGAAGCGAGCCAAGAGCATAACTCTCCCTTCTTTCGCTATCGCACTCAATCTCTCGCTTCTCCCTCCCCTCAGGTGGCCGGGTCGCTCTACTTCTGGTCCGCAGCACTGGCTGGGCCAAAGCACGGCCCATTTGCTGCTTGGATCACGGTACAAAGGGCTTCAAGTGTTGCTGCTTGAACGGCTTGAGGGGGTTGCAGTTTGAAGGGCTTGAGGGGGTTGCAGTTTGAACGGCTTCAAGTGTTGCAGCTTTAATGGCTTCAGGGGGTGCTTGTAGTCTGAATCACTTCAAGTCTTGCTGCTTGAATAGCTGGCTTCAAAAGTGACTTGACTGGTTTTGAAGGTTGCAGTTTTAAAGACATGGCATGCTACTTTCTGGTCTGATCCGATGTGTATGCTGCACCCCCACATCTGCCTCCACTATTCCCCCACCTCCATATCTCGCATTCTCCTTCCCTTCATCTCGCCCCGATCCTTCCTTCCTCTCCTTCTCCTCGCCCTTCTCCAGGGGTGGTTGGAGTTTCTTGGCCTTTCTGTGGGCTTGGGCGGCGTCTCGTATGGCGGTGTGTTAATGCTACAGTACACCGTGCTCGTTGCCACAGGTACTCTCACCCTGCTTTACTTGGTATCAGAGCAGAGCCCCCTTGCACAACACGCCCTGGCAGGCAGTAGTGCATGGTGCCCCCATGGTGGCAGTACTGCTCCCAGGAACATTCCCCATGGTGGGTAGACATGGGCAGCATGCCGAGCCTTGCTCGACTCGGCTCGACTCGAACCCGAGCCAGGCAAAAGTCGAGCCGAGCCGACTCGGCTCGACCCGAGCCAGCTGGCCCAAAATGGTTGGTTGGACTCGGGGGTTCAGGGTCGAGCCAAGGGTCGCCTCGACTTTGGCTTGGCTCGGCTCGACTCGCCAAAAAGGTTTCTTCTGCAGGTTTTGAAAAGGTCTTGCTAGATCGCTGTAAAGGTTCTGCAGGTGAAGGTCCCTAAGCCCTTACATCCTTCCTACAACACCAAAAGGTAGTCGAAAAAAATCTGAAGTATCGGCGTTGGTGGAGGAGGAGAGAGGGCAGGGTAGGGTGGCGAAATAGCTCAGATGTACGCTTAGGCTCGATGGCGAAAACGTAGAATGGATTGTCAACTTCCAGAGAGGTCGAATTTTTACCCCCACGGGCGAGCCGCGCGCTTCGGGAGTTGAGCCAAAGTCGAGCCAAAGTCTAGTCGGCTCGACTTCGGCTCGCCCTGAAATTTGCGACGAGTCGAGCCGAGCTGCGCGGCTCGACCGGCTCGACCCGGCTCGACTCGGGTCGAGCCGAGCTTAGCTCGGCATGCTGCCCATGTCTAATGGTGGGCATAGAGAGAAGAGAAGAATGTAGGCATGAGCAAAACTGGGTAATTACCCGACCCGACCCGGTTTTGCTATACCCGACCTCGGGTCGGGTAATTTCGGGTCGGGTCCGGGTCGGGTAATATGTTCACGACCCTTACCCGGACCCGGATTTTGTTAGGCGGGTATTTTAATACCCGCCAGGCGGGTCCGGGTATACCCGACCCGGCATAGCTTAAAGGCGGGTAATGCTACCCGCCCTGTCAATAAGGCCTAAACGAGGTGTTTTTTTGGTTTTTTTTTTTGCCTGTATTCGTCTAACTGTCTCCTAGGGTTGAGACAGCAATGTGGTCATGGGAAAAAAAATTGGCACGCATTTCAGGGGGTTTGTTGCCACCACCACGCTACACCTTACTTGTGTTGCTTCCTCGGGTTTCGTTTTCATTGGATGTAGATATACGTAGTATGAATTAAGTGCACACATTTCACTCTGCGTACGTTCACAATCACTTGATAAGCAGGATGCCATGTCTGCATGGCCCTACAGCTCAATGCTGGGTCCGGGCATGGCACAAGCAAGGACACGAATGTACGTCACAGGAAAAACTGTTCATAGGGGCTAACCCTGTACCCACGCCTCACAACCCCTCGTCGTCACCCTCAAGGCACAGCCCCCCCATGGCCCGATCCAACGTCGCAGTGGGAGGCTGCCGTCGGCGCGCTGTGCCATCCATGACTTGAGAGTCATGGATGCACGCACCTGAGCAGTGCTCAGGCGGTGACGCTGCCAGGTGACCACGTTCCGCCCCTGGCTGAACGCCCGCTCGCTCGGTGCGAGGTTGCAGGGATGGCAAGGTAGTCTCGTGCCATCGCCTGCAACCCCGGGTACGACGAGCGCGTGCGCCACCATTGCAGCGGAACACCCGTCCATGTCCAAGCGCGCTCCTGCAGTACCTCTGAACCTCGTCCGGCGCGGCCACTCCCGTTCTCGCCTCAACCTCTGCCATTGCCGAGCCGAGCATGTCAAACAAGCGCCCCCCACCTCGGGCCCTGGCAACACTCCTCCCCCCCCGTCCCGCGCTCCCCCTGTGCTCGTCCCCTCCTGGCCCCCGTCCACCGCACGCCTGCTCTGCTCGTCCAGGTAAGACTGCAAGCGCGCCCTGACCCATGTCACCACCTGCTCCAATGTGACGTCGCGCACCGCCCTACGCCCCCCAGCGGCCTCTCCCGCTAGCTGAGGGTGGGCCCCCTCCCACCGTTCAAGCTGGAAGTACAGCTGCTTGAACCTGGGATCCAAAAATGTCGCCACTGCCAGCTCCATGCTGATGCCGTACACATACTTCTTCAGTACCTTTAGAGCTGCCTCCGACAACAGCTTGCACAGCTCCCCGGTACTTGGGTCGTGGTAGAGGCGCTCAAGCTCATCCATGAGCAGGTTGTACTGCGGCACCACTGCTGCGGCAGTGGGGTACAACGACCCCTCTGCCGCAGTAGTGATGTCATGGAAGGGCTTGAGGAATTCCACCAGAACCCTCAGAGCGTCCCAATGCGCGTCCGCGAGGCGGACACGCGCAGCCTGTTCGCGCGTCCGCTTGTCACGTGCCGACTGTGGAATGGGGGATTCAGAGGAACATGCAGTAGCAGAGGGGGAAACTCATATTTGGGGAGGGTAATAGGCATGGGCGGACCTGGGAGACTGTCAGCATTTTAGAATGGAATAAAAAAAACACGCGAATTAATGGCATTCCAGGAGATAGGGAACCATACCTCGAGTCCTGAGAAGTACAGCAAGATAGGATCTTTCAGCTTCAGGAAGCACTCCCCATCTCAAAGGACGACCCCACGCG